CTTCTGGGGTTTTTTTTTTTGTAAGTTTCGTAAGCAAAACTCACTCTCTCTCTCTCTCTCTCTCTTTTCCCCAATGGGACTCAGCAGCCAATGAGATTTTCCCTCCACCCCGCATTCACGCAGAAGACTTCGTGACGTCACGGGTCGGATCCCAACAAGGTGTTCGGTTGCCAGGCGACAAAGGAACACCAAGATCGCGCGCAAGGAGCAAAAACACCCTAAAACCCTCCAGGTGTGAATATTGCAATACGGTTAAAGGTATGAACGAGGGTTGCAAGAAAGGCAGGTTTCATTCCTAGCTTGATCTTTTTTAGACGTTGCAGAAAGCGAGCAAAGGGTTGAACCGAGCGGTGTTTCTTTCTGCCTGGAGCGCAAAGAGCGCAATTTTCTTACTTAAGTAGCTTCGTTCATTCCGAATGAATTCTGAGTTTTAAAAGGCTCCAAAAATTTGGGTGTTAGATTCCTGTGATCAAAAAGCTGACCTGGTATTTTTCAACATTATATTATATGGGACCCTGAGAAGTTGCTCCTTGCGACATTTTAGGAGGTCTTCTTTTTTTTTCTTTCTTGCTGAGAAGTTTTATCTGGGTTGCAAATATATTTCTAGAACAGTGTGTCCAGAAAGGCTACATGCCCTTTCATAGTTCCTTTCCAACAAGATATGATGATTGATGATGATGATATGATATCCATTCAATTGTGTCCAATTCAACAATTCTATGGACCAGCTGCCCATATTAAAAAAAACGACACTATGCACCACAGCGATAACAAGGACCAGCAAAAATTACAAATTGAATAGACAGCAGATGATATAAAACAGCAACAAAGCAGCCATCAATACAATACTGTATTTGCAATCAAATCCTCGTTTTCTTTTTTTATCTTTTTTGCAAGATTCACGGATTTCCATTTGTTCAGAATTGTATAGGGGTTGGAGTAGAAGACCTCCAGTGTCCCTTCCAATTATGTTGTTATTCTAGTAAATTTTGATCCTTCTATTAACTGAGTATAGGTCTATTACTTTAGATGCTGATTATGATTTATGAGAGGTACAAAAAGAAATACTATTCTTTGAAAATGGGGTCTAGCATAATGTCTTCTCTGTAAGGACAAGTGAAGACATTTAATTAGGACCTAGATTCATTAAGGGCTGCCCTGTTGCAATTTATTTTGCTTGTTTTATTTTGTTTCCTGTAAACAGAGAAATTGGTACAAGTTCACCCAGTTCCTTGGATCAATGGAGAGTGAAAGACAAATGATGGGAATGGATGCCAAATATTTCAAGGAAAACCTTGGAATGTGTTTGGCTGAAGGACTTGCAGAGGTGGCGGATCGCCGACCAACAGACCCCATCCGTTTTCTGGCCTCCTGGATTTACAACTACAATGAAAATAGAAAGAAGGAAGAAAAGGTGATACATTAAAAAAACCAACCAAAGTTGAAGAAAGCTTGTCTCAACAATGATTGAATCAAATTCTCTTTCCTCCCAATTTTCCTATCCCTTGTCCTCTTCTAGACAAAGTCAGAAAAGGACCACCTAGAACTTCATTATGAGGAACTTCTTGCAGAACTGGAGAGTACAGAAAAGCTGAAGGCAGAAGAACTTCTGATGGCCCAAAAATTTGAAGAGCAGCAGAAGGTCTGGGTCTCTTGATTTTAACCTAGGGTACAATGGGCCATATTTGCCTCATTGGTGTAATAGAATAGAATAGAATTCTTTATTGGCTAAGTGTGATTGGACACACAAGGAATTTGTCTTTGGTGCAGGTGCTCTCAATGTATATACAAAGACAAGATACATTCATCAAGAACCATAAGGTACAGCACTTAATGATAGTCATAGGGTACACATAAGCAANGAGATTCTGGTCTTGTTATTAAAGGACATTCCATTTTACGCTTGTCTCGGTTGTCGTTACTGAAAGGAGGAGGGGGTCAGAACAGAAAGAGATTCCTCCCTCCCCAAAAAACCAAACAAACAAACCCCAAAGCTCTTGACTAGAGAATGAGGGATGAAACTGGTTGAGTTTTTCTGGTCTCTGGTTGAGATCCATCAATCCGGTCTCAACACGATGAGTTCTCTTATCTATTTGATGTGCATCTTTCACTTCTTCTCTCTGACCCTCAGTCACTTGAATGCATGACAGGCAAACAAAATTGAGAAGATATGTTGACGCCAGGTCTGGATTCCCTAAAAGTTTGATACCTAGTCGGGCAATTAAACATGTGCAAGCAAACAACTATGCTCAGAGAGCTCCAAGGACTTCAGAGTTTGTTCTAAGCCAGAGCTGGGCTTAGAGAAGAACCTTGGGAAGAAGAGATTGTCTTTTTGTGGGAGCTTAGTCCAGTTCCAGAAGCGTGATGATCTCAAAGAACACTCGGTCTAGGTAATGCCAAGACCGACCATCAGCTGAACACACCTGTGCAGAATATTTGTCCAAGCTGAAAGCAAGTTTTTTTTTACCAACGGCTAAACCCTTTAGTTTAGTCATCTGTTAAAACTCATCTTCTAATGTCCAGTTCCATGGTATGGAAAACTTTGGTGGATATTGTTCCAACTCCCTAGTGATGTTGCTTGTGAAAATAAATAAAGCCAGGATATCCACCAATCACTTTCCTAAATGTTCCTTAACCTGTCTCAGGATAGGGTGCTTCACCAAAAAATAAATAAAAAAATGGAATGTTTTTCTGCCTCCTCAGAAAAATTTGAAGGAGGAAAGTATTTTAATTTGGCCAGGAAATGTTTTAAACAGCATCACTAATCTGTAAGAAATAAGTTTTAAAACACAGTGACTGGATGCATTCAGCTCTCTGAGCCAGGATACAACCTTTGATTTCAGACTTTTACCCCCAAGGTGATTGGCTGGGTTTAGCTTACATAATTAGAAGCAAAAATAATTTAGTGCTGCCTCTTTACTTTTCTTCCTTTCTAATCTCCTAATCTTAGGCAGTAGCTTCACATTTAATAAAGTTCACCAAACCACAATATATGGGAGTATACAGAGAATGAATGAATAAAATGAATGGTAGATGAACAGTAACTAATAATAGATTAAAATGCTCAGTTCTTTGAAATGTGACTTTAAATCACAAGATGTAGAGTCATACGGGCATCATAATTTTAGAGTAAAAACAGGTAGCTGTAATTGCTCTGCTAAATTAATATGGGTATACCTGGACTAAAATATAAATGTTGGATAATAACATTTGTATTTTACATCTACAAACCAGTATTGGGAGGTTGATTTGCCTTGAGATATGAAATATGGAATTGATTCACTGTAAGAAGATGGTTTGATGAATGTTGCAAAGTCAACGTTGCAAAATAACTTATCTTAAATCACACACATTTATCCACAGCCTAAAACAATCAATCGGAAGACTTAAACAGCAATTATAACACAAATATGTACTTTTTT